CAGGCTCCATCTCCACTCCACTCAGCTTCCCAGTAACAGCGACCAGTCAGACTCTCTCTGCCCAGAACTTGGGACCAGAAGTCAAATCTTTCTGGATGATCAGGATATGGCTGCTCTGCCCCCCATGTCACCTTCCTGTTCCCCTCTGACAGAGACAGGCGGCTGTTTGCTGTGTTGGGGTCCAGCGTCAGCTGGCAGGAGTCTGTAGGCAAGAGGAAGAGCGATTAATCCCATCACAAAGCCCAGGATGTCCATTATTATCACTGTCACACCTCACACTCTCACTAACACAGAACTCGCTCCAATACACACATTTTATTCCCAATATACTCATGTAGCCGCCCGAGTCTGCGGCGCTCCGGCTGCCCCCTGCGCTGTGAGACACGCCGCGCTGAGAGACTCGCTGGGGACCGAACTGCACTTTAGCCTGAAAGCTATTATTCTGTACGATACACAAAATATAAAAACAAAGCAGGAATTCAAGTATGTGAAATACCTCAGGAAATGTCGGATGCCCGCACAGCATTAAGGCACGACAAAATACTGCATGTGCTAAATTAAGAGGCTTAATTACAGGTAGATAAAATTACACAGCAGTTCAGTTACCAACTCTGGTCAGCAAGCTGGACTGAGATTTTCAATTCGAAGTCTGCACATGCATTTATATGAATGTAACTGTCTTATTACCTCATAAATAATCAGTAGGGTCTACAAAGTACTCCAATGCTTTTGATGTAACAAAATTTTAGGTTTATAATGGAATGATATAGATTTGCCGTAACACTTGTGTGAGCATGAGAGACTGAAAGCGTGTCACGCCAGATGCGTGAGAGTTGGCAACCTTGAATCCTGACTGCTGGTGTAGTTTACAGTTTTATTTTCTACTTTCAACATAGTACACCTCGCATAAACATATAAGGTACAACCACCGTAAGAGCTCATGCCTCATTACGGGTCCATTAACTGATAAACATTAGTCGTAGGCTACGTAACCACTGTTTCTGATGAGCGCAGTAGCCTTACTGACGATTCCACAGGCATGCGTAGAGAAAAAAACTGCCATTGACCTTTATCAAAATAAAAGCTCCCCTTTTTACCCTGGTGCATAGGATGGCTTAAGGCTTCTGTACTTGACAGTCAACTAATAGGAGAAAATTTTAGACAATATTAAAAAAATAAAATAGCTCTGAAAAATCAAACAGGTAATTCAACTAAAATAATAAACCTTTCAGGTGGTTATTTACACATGTTCTATGGAGTGTGCTTTCATCAGTGGACTCTGGGGGATAATGCACACCCCTTGGATTTTCAAGATCCCTTTCTATCTAACAGTTATTGATTATTACATTGTATCCATATTACAGTACATGCCACTGCTCCATCTCATACATATGGACAGTTGATAACTAACTTAATCCATAAATAAGTTGTAAAGTGTGATTTAGGCAGTGCACCGTGGGACAAAGCAAATGTACCGTAGCTGAATTGCTTGATTACGTGTCACTGCCCGGTTATCTTCATCTTCTACCAAAGCAAATAGCCAATCGTAGTCAATATTCAAAAAAACCAATCAAAGGAGCGGAAACATTAGCCACTGTTCCCGCCTCCAAAGTGTCAAAATTCATCCTGTTGAGCGAGCGAGTGCTGTGCAGACGCGAGCGCGTAGAGAGGATGGGTTTTCAGCGCGCGTGTGCGCTTGCGAGGTTCGACTTTTGGCACTAATTTAACGCCGAGCGAGTGAGTGCTGTGCAAATGCGGGCAAGTAGAGAGGATGGGTTTTCTGCTAGTGAACGCATACACGCACAAGTTTTGGCACTAATTAAACGCCATAGGACTCACTGGAGCTGACAGAGTGGACGGATCAAAGGAACTTCCTGCACAATCAGAGCCCCCGAATATGTAACAGAGTGAGTGTTCTGACAAAACGTCCTACTTTATCAAAACATCCCACCGTACTGCTAATCGATAGCCTTAACCCTAACTGTTACCCTAACCCTAACCCTCCAAAAACCCCTAAAACCCTTATGTTTACCCTAAAACCTAACCCTAACCCCTAAAACCTAACCCTAACCCCTAAAACCTAACCCTAATCCCAAAACGCTGGGACTGCACATGCGCAGAAAGGCTCGATAGCACGTCTCAATAGGTAGGATGTTTTGTCAGAACACCAGATCAAGCAGACTCTGGTTCTTCTGTATCAGTCACTAACAGATCCGGACTGCATGAGTAAATCAGAGGGACTCGCGAAACAGCAGACTCGGATCCATTTATCCCAAGTGGATCAGGTAAACTTCCTTCACAACCCAAAACATAGAGAACTCTGAATCGCTGAAAATGTTTTACACATACAGGTAGGTTTAATAGAAGGTGTCATGCATGCACTCCTGCTTTTAATACTTTGTACAACCTCCCTTTGCCAGTATACCAGCACTGAGTCTCCTATAACATTTGATTAGGTTGGAGATAGCGCAGGTGAGCTGCCTGTAGGTTATCCTGCAGAGCTGGAAACACAGCAGACTCTGAATCACGGATCTGAACTACTGTGGATGCATAGAATTACGAGTGAATCCACAGAACTTCCGATTCGGTTCGTGAACAGACTCAGATTCTCTGACTGGACTGAATGAGCGGATAAGTACGTGTGACTTGTTCCTCATAGCACAGGTTGGACTTGTTGACTCAAAGGGCTCGTTAACCCAGATCTTTTGAGTGAGTGACTCTGAAGAACCTGAGACCGTAAAATGAACCGAATTTACTGAGGAGACGTTGGGTATCACCACCAGTTTGTGGAGGACTACAGGTGCTGTCTTAGGACAATACTAACAAATCTAAAAAAAAAAGTACACTAAGCGCATGCCCAAAAAGAACAAATGTTAAGGAGTTACACAAAAAACAACTGCCTCGATACATATATATGGTCAGTAGGGTTATGACTATGCCCACTTGTGGAAAAATAAGGTTAAAAATAATTTGATTTATTTTGTGCACCCATCAATGTTAATACATTGTAGGAAGGGGTTTGTTGTAAAGTTAAAGGAAACCATATGGTCTTCTTTGTATAGATCTTTTAGACATAGAATCCCTATATTTACCCATTGACACCAGCAGAGTGGCTTGTCTGCTATTTGTATTTTTGCGTTATGATAAATAGATGCTTCAGTTGTCAAGCAGGAAAAGCTTTTTATTTGACTATGCAGCATTTTCTATCTTTCTCTTGAAAACTGTAAGACTGGATTTAAGGGGTTTAAGAGGAAAGACCTGACTGCATTATAAAGGCATCAGTTAGAAAGTGGTCAAGTATCTCCTCTTCAATTTTAACCCACGCAGTGGCCGTGTATTCTGGCAGGGAACTTTCTGATGGCTGCAAGAGTGAAAACGACCAGTCTAGCCTGGGTAGGCAAAGTCCCCACTATCCCTGGCAGCATATAATTTATCAGAATTAAACAGGGTTTTTTTCTCTTACCATATGAATACCTCAAGACATTTATTATATTCAAGATTGTGTAGGGAGGATGAAGGGTGGCATATGAGCTATGTAGCTTACTTTGGGTATTATCATTTTAATTAAATAAAATAATCCTCCCAGCCCAGGGAGGATTGCTTTTATCCCATACCCACAGCATCCAAAGCAGGTGAGGCCTCTGTCACTTGCCTAGTGCTTGGTCCAGAGAGGGCCGACCTCTTTATACTCTCGACCTGGAATGAGTCGTTCTGCTGTACCCATCTCCGAATGTCCCAGTGCTGCTCTGCCTGTCACATCTCTGGTGGTGACTCAGCCCTGTGTTGTTCCCAGGTGTCCCGACTCGATGCTGCTTGTCACCTGGTGCCCTGGGGTTTGACCCAGAGAATGGTCCTCCATCCACACTACAGGCTCCCCGCTCTGGAGGGGCTGCTGCTGACCTTGGTATGAACCCTGCCCTGCTGTCGTCCAGATACCACTCACTGTCGCTTGATGACTGGCCGTGCCCTCCTCATCTCCTGGTGCACCGCTGGTGCCCGCCATGTTGCTTTCTGGTTCCCGTCAGCGCCCACCTCATCTCCTGCTGCCTGGGTACCTCTCTTGTCCCCTACAGGTCACCACCAGACCAATGCCTGACTGCTCAGCCACCACCTGCCCTGAAGGGATTGAACTAGCTGAGGTCCAGCCTGAGGACCTGGAGTTAGGACCCCCTTTCCTTATCTCCGACTCTGCGGGTACCAGCATTAGCCCTAATCCCTCATTGTCCCAGTTCCATGTCCCGGAGCAGTCGACAGGGGCACAGATGAGGGTTTGGGCCACATGTTTGTATCCCAGAGGGGGAGGCATGGACTTACCATCCAGGCCTACTGCCCAGACTCAGGTCTGCCCAGCGCTGCCTGCCCGGACCCTTCAGCGGCCTCCTTGAGGAGGGGAACACCTGCGCTCTCTAGCCCCAGCCCTGTAGTCTCAAGAGCATCCTCCTAGTCCATCAGCACCCCCTCGTCTCCGTCCTGCAGGTCCCTTGGTGCCCTCTTGCCCTGCGGTTCCAGCAGTGCCCTCCTGCCCAGCAATCCCAGTGGGCCACTGGGTGTATATCATGCCTGTGTTTCCCCCTGCTGTGCTTGGTTGTGCCCTGGTCTGTTACATGCCCCTTGTGGTATCCTGTGTCTGGTCTAGTGTCCAACGTCATTGTCCACTTGCTTTGTTCTGTCCTGATCACCTGTCTGCCCTGTGTGGGAGTAGGTCAGGTCTGTAGTCCTCTTGGTCCTCAGCTATGTCCCCAGCCCTGCCGTGTATCTGATCCCGTGTCCCTGGTCTTGCCCATCCCATATCTGCACCTGTCTGTCCTGTTTCGGGGTGCTCGGTGTCAGCTGCTCCCCTTGCTATCCCAAGTCTCCTCCAGTCCTGTCCAGTGTCCCTGCTTGTGTCCAGTGTTTTGTGTCCCGGACTCTTCTCGGCTTGGGGTTTCTCCCCAGTGTGGTCAATGACGCCTAAACCTAAGCCTGATCTGGTATCCCTGTTTTCTGACCCCTTGCGGTCCATTTGGTTTCCCTGTTTTAAATAGTTCATTTTCTTTCCTCCTTCGCTTGCTTCTGACTCCCTGATTTCCGGGTTACAACATCCATATCTAAGGAACAGGCTACAGGATTATTACAGTTTTTCTATACTAGGTACAGTAGAAGAGCCTTCTCAGATTGTCAGCAGGTGATCTGGTCTTATGTATTATTGTGGGAAGTATATAGTCGAATCTGACTGCCAGCACCTTAAGTATTTTACTATTTGCGTTACAGAGTGAAATTGGTCTGTAATTACGACATTGTTGGGGGTCTAGTCCCTTTTCTGTGAATTAAAGTAATCAGACTTTTCATTGAATTAGGGAGGGAACGTCTTTCCAGAGCATTATGAAAGAGAAATAGTCTACCAGCTAAGATAATAATCAAATTTTAAAAATCAGATTAGTCACCATCTCCTGAGGCCCAACATGGTCTAAGGTCCTTTACAGCATCCTTAATTTCCTGTAATGTGTCTTGTTCCAGTAAATCTTTACTACTTGGAGACAAAAAACACCTCAACCAATGAAGAGAACTGGTCATATTGGTCTGTAGATAGTGGTATTCATATTAAATGTCACGTTGTTTTATTTTAAGCGGTTGGTCCATTTTTTGACATATTCTTTAAGTTAATGTGTCATTCTAGCTTAAGTTTTTTTTTTTTTTTTTTTTTACTGTCGAGTGATTTCTGGTATGAGCAATATTGGATTAACCATCACTTATAAACTGTCTTGAAAACATCCCAGGTAATGCCAGGGTCCAAGACAGAGCCACCATTAAGTAGCCAATATTCTTCCATGGCTGTTTTCATGAAGTTGTAGGCCACCTCATTTTGTAAGAGTTATTAAATTGCCATTGCATAGTTTTCCCATCGTCTAAGGTCAGTACAATATCAACCGGTGCATGATCAGAGAGAATGATATTTCCAGTACAAGCACTCTGAATATTCTTAACCAGGGCTTTAGAGATCAATACAGTGGTATGAAAAAGTGTTTGCCCCCTTCCTGATTTCATATTTTTTTTGTATGTTTGTCACATGTAAATGTTTCAGATCATAAAACAAATTTAAATATTAGACAAATATGACACAAGTAAACACAAAATGCAGTTTTTAAATGAAGGTGATCATTATTAAGGGGAAAAGAAAATCCAAACCTATATGAATGGCCCTGTATGAAAAAGTGATTACCCCCTAACCCTAATAACTGGCTGGGTCACCCTTAGCAGCAACAACTGCAATCAAACGTTTGCGATAACTAGCAATGAGTGTTTTACAGCGCCGTAGAGGAATTTTGGCCTACTCATCTTTGCAGAATTGTTGTAATTCAGCCACATTGGAGGGTTTCCAGGCCTTTTTAAGGTCATGCCACCTTTAAAGCTATGTGCAGAACTACTGTTTTTTAATTGCTCAGTTTTTCTGCCCTATGATGACATTCAGTGATGTACTGAATGGTATTCATGAGGGATGGATGGATGGATTGATTAATTGATTGATTGATTGATTGATTCTCCACTGTGGTCCACACTACAGGAGAAGCAGAGTGACATAGTACTGCTGTATCCATTTATTTAGCAGTTGAATTTCCGCAACATACACAAGTCTATAACAGGGACAGACACACATTCTATACTCACTTCAGCTTCTCCAGTTTACAGCTGGGATCCTCCAGGTGAGCAGAGAGCAGCTTCACTCCTGAGTCTCCTGGGTGGTTGTAGCTGAGGTCCAGCTTTCTCAGATGTGAGGGGTTTGACCTCAGAGCTGAAGCCAGCAAAGAATAGCCTTCTTCTGTGACTCTACAGCCTGATAGTCTGCAGTGAGACAGACAATATCTCTCCGATAAATAAGATTATCACAGCATTACAAGCATAGCATTTAAGTAAATATGACTACTTTCATATTTAAAGTGTGACTACTTTGAATAACTACAGTTTACAGTGAGGAACACCCAGTAATATTGACTTCATTATCACCAATTTGCAGTGTGAAATACCCAGTAATACTGACCTCAGTATCTCCAGTTTACAGTGTGAATCCCCCAGTCCAGCAGAGAGCAGCTTCACTCCTGAATTCTTCAGGTCATTGTCACTCAGGTCCAGCTCTCTCAGGTGTGAGGAGTTTGACCTCAGAGTTGAAGCCAGGGAAGAACCGCCTTCTTCTGTGACTCTACAGCCTGACAGCCTGCAGAGGGACAGAGAAAAGTCTCCAATAGATAACCATTTTCCTCAAATAGGCAGCAAAAATCTTTTTAATCTTTCACCTTAATTGCATTGTAACCAACAGTAATCAATTTGTATAATAAATGTATATTTTTGCTCAATTTGTTTATTAACTATTTTTTTGTCAGTATTGTACCATTGAGTGCAGTGCTGCGGCTTAATGGGATCCTGCATGTAAATAGTTCACTGGGTGTTCTGGGTGAGGCGGGACTAGCCCACATCTCCACACATAACACGTGTACTGCATTCACATTCTCTCCGTGTGTACCACACCCCCTTCATATAGTGCATAGTGTTAGTCTCCGTTTTTGTGCAAAAGTGTAGTTGTTATTGTGATTATCTTGTCCGTGGTAACTATGCATTTTTGTACTGTCTACCATGTAACTTTTCATGTCTTTGTTACAACCATGTGTTAATACGTGGTCAAAATGTCTTATCCCCTCTGTATTTTGCCTGTTCTTTGTGCATAGCAAGGTTTAGGCTTTCGTTTTGCTTAAATTATAATCCTTTTAAGGCCTCAAAATAAAAGAGTGCTTTGCCAACCCCAGTTGTTTTCTTTAAGATGTATTCAACCTGTTGTCACTTCAATATGTTTGTGATAATGATCTATATACTATATCCTATTTGTGTTAATCCTATGTTAATTTCAGGATTCAGGTCAGGTTGGAGGAGCATGCGTCGATGCAGCGCGTTGCCGCACCCACCACACAGCGAAACTCCTCGGGATCCTGGCCATCGATCCCCCACACAGATACACGGTCCAGTCCCACCCTCCGAAATGGCCATCTGTCTTCTGCAGCCAGGTGTTACGTGGGCATTCCCTTGGCCTGGTCTAGCCACTTGGGTCCTCAGCAATAAGGATCCTGTGAGTCGGATCATCCCCAGGGAAACGCGCCACATGGCCGCAGTGCTGTAACTGACGCTCCCTCACAATGCAGGTAATGTGCCTCATTCGGGACTCCTCTAGCAACTGCTAACCAAGTCAAACCAGCAGTACCCAAGGAATCTCCGAAGAGACAGAGTACCGAAGAAGTCCAGTCTTCGTTTCAGCTCACTGGATACCATCCATGTCTCACAGCCATACAGCAAGACAGGGAGCACCAGGACTATAAAGCCTTGGACCTTCGTCCTCTTGGATAGATATCGGGAGCGCCACACAGCGACCTCATGACCCCCCTACTCTTCCAATCCATCTGCTGTCTTCATAAGTCACCAGAGACATGAATGTCGCTGCCGAGGTAGGTAAATCTCTCAACAAGGTCGATATTCTCCCCGCAGACAGACACACTACTGATGGCTGTGCATAAGAAGTCCTTAAATGCCTGGATCTTGGTCTTTATCCAGGACACCCGCAATCCCAGACACTTAGACTCCTTGCTCAGTCTCTCAAGAGCCCCAATCAGAGCCTTCATTGACTCCGCTAAGATCACGGTATTGTCCACAAAGTCAAGATCAGTAAATATTTCTTCACCAATGGACTCCCCATAGCTGCTGGACCCCATGACCCTGCCCAACACCCAGTCCCTACAGGCATTGAACAGAGTAGGAGCAAGAACACATCCCTGGCGAACCCCAGAATCAACTGGGAAGAACGCAGTGGTTCTCCCTCCATTCTGCACAGCATTCACAGTACCAGTTTACAAGCCGGCCATGACATCCAGTAACCTTGGGGTGATCCCGCAAAGTCTCAGATTGCTCCACAGGGGAACTCGATCAACTGAGTCAAATGGTTTAGGAAAATTGACAAAGACTGCAAAGAACGTCTGCTGATATTCATGCTTGCACTCGATGAGAACCCTCAGTATAAGGAAACGATCGATGGTAGACTACTTACTGTAGGTGTAAAACCAGACTGCTCCGGTCACTAACAGGCAAGCAAGTTTTCATGGATCCTGTTAAGGATGACCCTGGCAAGGACCTTACCCAGTACTGTAAGCTGTGTTATCCGCCTGTAGTTGCTGCAATCCAGGCAATCACCCTTCCCATTCCAGATGGGGACTACAAGTCCCGTTTTCCAGTCAGTTGGGATGACGCCTGACTCCCAAACGGAGGCAAAGATTGCCTGCAATACCAGGAGGACAGCCTTACCACCAGCCTGGAGAAATTCACTCCGGATATCACAGATCCCTGCAGTCTTCCCTACCCTCAGCTGATTCACCACCCGTGCAATCTCAGTGAGATTGGGTGATTCACAGCTGATCAGAGGATCAGCTTTGAGAACTGTGGACCCAGAGATGTCCAACATCCTAGGCAGAGGGTCAGCTTTAAACAACTGCTCAAAGTAGCCGGCCCAGCGGGTCACAACTGCAGTGTCATCCGTAAGGACCGTTCTGTCACCCGCCCTGACTGCAAGTCTCCAAGGAACAAATTCAGATGTACATAATGCTTCTATTCCTCTGTAAGCAGGACGTGGGTCACTAGGCCACACTGAAGTCACCCATGACCAGAGGAGTGTCACCTTGTGGGCACCCTTCAACCACCGAGCGAAGTTGTGAGTAAAATGTCTCCCTCAACGAGAGAACACTCACCGCGGTCGGAGCAAACACTGAAACAACAGACAAGACAGCCAATGAGTGCCTTAGCCTGAGTCTCATGATTCGCTCATTGAAAGGAGTGACATCAGACACCATCGGAAGGAGCTGATCTGCTACAGCAGCAGCTACATCCTGAGTATGGCGGCCGTCATTAAGGATTCAATGTAAAGATTTATCATAAGTCTTAATACAGTAAAACTAGTCTAAGTCGACACTCGCGGGACCAGCTTAAAAGTGACGACTTAGAGAATTGACAAGATACACCTAAGTCGACACTTTGGCGACTTATGTCTATCTCGCCGTTTTGTCGACTAGTAAATATAACTCGCCGTTTTGCCGACTTATAAAGTCGACACTTCGGCAACTTATATCTATCTCGCCGTTTTGCCGACTAGTAAATATACTGTAACACCATACCTCTACTCATCACGGCTACACCACACTATACACGCGAGACTTAAGACCAGGCAGCGACTAGTGCGATAGGTGGGGGTTCCCCGTTTCTACATTGCCATGGTGACAAGCAGGCGATGTGAAGCAGGTGGCGGGAATCCATTCATTTGTGTTGTTCGGGACTGGGATTTAGGTGACGACTAAGGGAATTTGACGACTTACAAGCAGCAACTTACACAAGGAATTTTAAAGGAAACATCATTAGGAAAAATCGGGACTTTTGCTTGAGCGTCGACTTGTGCACATTGACGAGTTACAAGCCGGCGACTTAGACCAGTTTTACTGTATTAGCTATGATTAATTACAAAGTACTATGCAATTAGTTTTCTTAATCGATTCAAAGCCCCAATAGCTTTATACATTTAAGGTGTTAATAAATTGTTCAGTTTGAAGTTCAAATTTGGTTTAGAACTAAAAAAGCTGTTCTTTAATGTCGTCAACCTTCGTTTGTGCTTTATTATTATTTTTTAAGTACGGGTTCAGGTACTATTTTAAAAGTATCATTTTAGCACCAGTATCGGAAAAACCCCAAATGATACCCAATCCTAGTACTGTGACAATAAGGGCATTCTATTCTATTCTACTGACAGCCAGGAGCAGCTGAGGTTAGCAGAGGATGCCAGTGAGCAACCAGAGACAGCACTCACAGAATTGTGCGCCCCCCCTTATTGGAAGGAAAGCACTATCACAAAGCAAATTGGAATTTATTACAGTCGAACTTCGTTACAACGTACCTCGGGGGAATTAAGAATTTGTACGTTATAACCATAGTA